TTGATATACTTAATTTATTCAATCAAAACTGCAAAAGATAGTGCTGCAGGCCCGGACGAAATTTACTACCAGTTTCTTAAACATTTACCATCCCAATCCCTAGACTTGCTTCTTGAAATTTTTAACAAAATTTGGGTATCTGTTGAACTCCCCAACACTTGGAAAAATGCATTGGTTATTCCTATCCCTAAACCTGGAAAAGATTCAACTGACCCTACAAATTATCGTCCAATTTCACTTACAAGTTGCCTCTGCAAAACATTCGAGAGAATGATAAATAATCGGTTAGTTTGGTATCTAGAAAATAATGGAATTATCACTAATTTTCAGTCAGGTTTTCGTAAACAGCGAAGTACAAACGTTCATCTTTTACGACTTGAGACTTTTATAAAAGAAGCCTTTGTAAATAAACAACACCTGGTATCAATTTTCTTTGATCTTGAAAAGGCTTACGACACTACTTGGAAAAATGGTATCCTAAAAGATCTAAAGGATGCTGGACTTAATGGCAGACTTCCTCTTTTCATTTCTGGAGTTTTAAACGATAGGCACTTTAAAGTAAGACTTGGTTCAACTTTTTCTCAGGACCACCAACAAGAACAAGGTGTTCCTCAAGGACGCATACTTTCTGTTACACTTTTTGGCCTTAAAATAAACAATATTTCTAGCGCTCTTACACCAGGCATAGATTGTTCTCTTTATGTATACGATTTTCTTATCTGCTATCGATCGAAAAGTATGAGAACAATTGAACGACGACTTCAAAAATATTTAGATAAAATTCAAAAGTGGGCAATAGAAAATGGTTTTAAATTTTCAAAGTCAAAAACTCAATGTGTTCATTTCTGTCGATTGCGGAAACAACATAATGACCCTGAACTTTACATATCTGGTTCTAATATTCCAGTAGTTGATGAAGCTAAGTTTTTAGGAATTATATTTGATAAAAAACTTTCTTTTATACCACATATTAAACATTTGAAAACTAAATGCCTAAAAGCTTTAAATTTACTTAAGGTTTTATCAAGTACAAATTGGGGATCAAATTCTTCCACATTACTGAAATTATACAGAAGTCTTATCCGATCAAAATTAGATTATGGTTCTGTAGTATATGGGTCTGCAAGAAAATCATATCTTCAAATGCTAGATACCATACATCACCAGGGTTTACGTTTAGCTTAAGGTGCTTTTCGCACTTCACCTGTAGAAAGAAGTCTATATGCAGAAGCTGGGGAACCATCGCTTCATCTTCGTCGAAAAAAGCTATCACTTCAATACGCAACAAGAATTTCATCTAATAGCAAAAATCCAGCTAAAAATATTATTTCAAACCAAGTTATACTGAAAAATTTATTAACAAACCAAAGGAACTTAAACCATTACGCCTTCGTATAAAAGATGATTTAGATAAACTTAAAATTAATCCAGACAGTATCCTTCAAAATGACGATGAGGATATTCCACCTTTGACTTATAATTCCCGAAAATAAATATTAACCTTTAAAATATAAAAAAGTCATCAAATTCACCTGAATACTTCAAAGAGAAGCTTCTAGCAATTAAGGAAGAACATGAAGATTTTATACATACTTATACGGACGGTTCAAAAGAATGTTGCAAAGTAGGTGCGGCTGTGTTTGAAAATAATTTTACATCTAGTATGAGGTTACCAGATAATGCATCAATTTTTACTGCTGAAGCAAAAGCTATCGATTTAGCATTATCATACATAGCACAGCATACCCACGATAAATTTGTGATATTTTCTGACTCGCTTTCTGTTTTAATATCCATTAAAAATAAAAAAATCTGACAATATCATGGTAAAGATACTTCTTTTACGATTTCATGATATACTAAAAACAAAATATGTTAAATTATATTGGATTCCAAGTCATGTAGGAATACGAGGAAATGAAAAAAAAGATGCTTTAGCTAAACAATCATTAAATTTTCAAAAAAACTGACTTATTGTTACCTGCTTGTTATTTTAGACCGGCTATAAATAAACTCGTATCATCTGAATGGAAAGCAAACTTGGACAATGCCGTGTTTAATAAACTTCACGATATAATCCCATCTCTTGATGTGTCACCATCTCTATCTCTGTCGAACCGCAGTGATCAAACAGTTCTTCTTCGATGCCGAATTGGACACACTAAAATCATCCACTCTTCTCTCCTTAAAAATGACAATGCCCCTTTCTGTGTAGGTTGTAATGAAAATTTTACTGTCAAGCACTTTCTTCTTGAATGTCATGATTTTTCACAGGCCCGTAATAGATTTTATTCTGTTAATTCATTCAAAGAACTTTTTAATACAATTCCATCAAACAACATAATTGATTATTTGAAAGAGATAAACTTGTATTCTAGGATCTAACTGGTTCATTTCTATTGTCATTAACAAAGTTTTACATAAGATTTTAAGCCTTTAGTAGCATTCGGCACGTGTTGACGTGTCGTAAAAATCCAAACAAACAAACAAACAAACATCCAGCGCCCGTCGTTATGCGTCAACAATCGTATTCTACTCTGAAACTGCTGGGCAGATTTACTTCAAGTATGGTCTGTAGCATCCTTATGACAGTCACACTTAGATTTGCTCATGTCATTTCAATTGGCCCCTTTAAGGGGTCAACAGAGCTAAAATCAGAAAAACCTTAAACATCACCAACTACAGAACTAATTGATGGATGATCACCAAACTTTATCTGTAGCATTATTAGGTAGTCTTTTATCAAGTTTGCTCAAATCAATTTGATTGGCACATTTACAAAGTCTCTTGAGCTTAAAATAGAAAAAAGACATCTTTTTCTACAGAACTAATGAATGGATGATCACCAAGTTTTGTCAGTAGCATACTTGGTAAGTCGTTTAGCAAGTTTGCTCATATTAACTTGACTTGCCCCTTTGATGGGCCGCTAAAGCTAAAAATAGGAATACCTTCAAACGTCTGTTATTACAGAACTAATTGAAGGATGATCACCAAACTCTGCTGTAGCATTCTTAGGTTGTATTTTATCAATTTTGCTTATATTGATTTGATTGACCCTTGTAGGGGTCTCTACAGCTAAAAATAGAAAAACCTTTAGACGTCTTCTTCTACAGAACTAATTGATGGATGATCACCAAACATTGTCTGTAGCATTTCATGGGTAGTCTTTTCTCTATTTTATCACGTTTGCTCATATTAATTTGATTTGCCCATTTTTGGGGCCGCTAAAATTAAAAATAGAAACACCTTTAAACGTCTGCTTCTACAGATGTTATTGATGGATGATCACCAAATTTTTGTCTGTAGCATTCTTATGTGGTCTTTCATCAAGTGTGTTTATATTAATTTGACTGGCCTCTTTTAAGGACTGTTAATTTAAAGCTAAAAAAAGAAATACATTTAAACATCTCCTTATACAAAACTAATGATGGGTGATCACCAAACTTTGTCTTTAGCATTCTTCGGAAGTCTTTTATCAATTTTGGTCATATCAATAGGATAAACCCCTTCTAGGGACCGCTTAAGCTACTAGAAATAGAAAAAAAAAACATTGAACATCATTTCGTACAGAAATAATTGATGGATGATCACCAAATTTTGTCTGAACCATTCTTGGGTAGTCTTTTATCAAGTTTGCTCATATTTATGTGATTGGCCCCTTGTAGGGGCCGCTGGAGCTAAATATAGACATACCTTTAAACGTCTCCTTCTATGGAAACAATTTATAGATATCACCAAATTTTGCATGTTGCATTCTTAGGAAGTTTTATCTCAAGTTTGCTCATATTGTTGTGATTTTTAGGGGCCACTAAGGCTTAAAATAGAAAAACCTTTGAATATTATTTCCTACTGAACCATTCGTAGATGATCACCAGACTTTGTCTGTAGCATTCTTAGGTAGTCATTTATGAAATTCTGGAAACAAAGTGATCCTCCAGAAATATTAATCACAACAAAATAACATAGGAATTGCAGACTCGGTTTGATTGAGTCTGTACATAAGGGATAATGAATAAGTGCAGCATCCCTCACGCCCCGTAGCACTGGCTTGAGCGGTACTCAATTCTCAACACTTTATAGTGTTGGCATCAATAATCCCGAAGGACCAGAAAATATAACAACACTGAAGTGAAGTACGGGGCAACTTTTTACGGCTGCCACACGGCACTTTTGCTCATATTAATTTGATTGGCACTTGTAAGGGGCCGCTAAAGTTTAAAATAGAAATACTTTTAACGTCTGCTACAGAACTAATGGATGGATAATCACCAAATTTTGTTTGTAACATTCTTAGTTGCTCATATTAATTTGATTGGCCCATTTTAGGGGCTGCTTAAGCTGAAAATCTAAAGGCTAAGCTTAAACCTTTGATCATCATCTCCTACTGAAATAATTGTCTGTAGCATTCTTCCGCCTATATGGCTGAAATACTGTTGAAAAGGCGTAAACATGAAACAAACAAACTGCAGCATTCTTAAGTAGTCTTTTATAAAAAAAAATAAAGAAAGACAGAATCCCTAAAAAAATCCCATCACGGCAAAATTGAAAATGTTGCAGGCTCAGTTTGATTGAGCCTGTTCATGGACGGTACTGGAAAGTGCAAGTTACCGTCCACGCCCCCCCTCTAGCACCAGCTTAAGCAGAATTCAACATTTAATACGAACTGGTACAATTTGGAATTTTGAAACATCAGCAGATGTTCATATGCCGGTTATCATGGAACTTTCAATATGACACTTAAGTGCCATTCCATGAAAAGAGGCATATGGTCCCCAAGTTAAAAAAATGCATGTGCCCTAAACAAGAAAAAATGGGCGAAACTATATAAAACAGGCTTAGGAAAACTCCAAAACGAGCTATAATAGCTATCTCAAACGATCTATTATAGCTCGTTTATATGAATGAATGAAAATAATTAAAAGTAACGATTTACTTTCCTATCCGAATTATCGAGCACTGTCCGAACTTGTGCAACTACAACAATATAATAAAAATTCTGTTAAATCAGTCTCAGCAATCTGCTTCCTGTTTAAAGGGGGCAATACACAGTTTTCAAGGCTTCTCGGCAAACAACTGACTGCGCCACAATCAAAACCTCACACACAAGTCTGTAATCACACACCTGAAATAAATGCATTTTATATTTAACATATATATATGTATCTCACAGCAAACAATTAAAAATACATGTCCACCTTCTAGTTTTCTGGCACACAGCCCTGTGTTTTTCATTGTTTTGGTCGCGAAAATCAACGACAAAATAAGCGGATTATCCCTATTCGCAAAATACAACAATATATTAACGTCAAAAAATTAAATCACAAGCTCTAGTGTTTCTTCCTTCTTAAACAATGCACAATCTGAAAATAACATCCAAACGGGGTGCCATCCACCTACTTTTTTCACTATTCTAAGTCTTCTGCATACCCTTTAAATTGAAGAGCTGATTCACCGGCTAGCTCCAGAAACCACACGTTCGCATCCGACAGGTACTCTCTCATAAAAACAAGGGTCAACGCCACTAAATTCAATTTTACTAAATAGCTAAAACATAATACTAGTCATTGAAACTTGAAATATAGTAACTATAAACATTTAGAACCTCAAATATCCACTTTAATTTCAAAACTGTCTCTTATTTGTAAATTCCACCCTGGCCAATTCGAAACTAAACAGCCGAAACTGTGTACTGCCTCCTTAAAGCACAACAAAACATTTTTAAAACCACAATTTTGCCCTTCGTTTCTATAATTTGATCAATTTGAATGAAATTTACCAGCAAATATTGCCAATAAGAAAAGGTCATGAATACTGAGAATTTACCTTAAAATTACCCATTTTTTAATGACAAAACAAGAAGTATTTCAAAGTCCACAAAACACATGATTATGATGCATTTACAATTCTACTAACATTCTTTCATGCTAAGCATATATTCAGGCATATTTTCAATCCATTTTAAGATGTGCCAACTTCTCTCCTGCTCCAATTTCTGCTCTAGAGCATGTGTTGTATCAAGATTTTCAATGTTCAGTTATTCCGCAAAAAAGCTGCCATGCTAGAATTTCGAGCTACAGACAATGAAAAATTGTCATTCTTTGATAGAAATCTGCTTCAAGATACATAGCAAAATGACATTTCAAGGATTTAAAAGTGAAACTGATTTACATAATGCTAATTTATGACATTGCGAAAGGAAAATTGATTGCGATGTGTTTCGCGTTTGAGCAAAATCAGCTGTTTTATGTTTATTCTTGACCGTCCCTTCAAAATCTGCTTATCAAAGTTAAAAAAACTGTCAGATAGATCAAAATTGATATTTATTCAAGTATTTAGGCTATTTCAACCATTTATGACCACTCCCAGTATGAAACAGTTCTGAAAAACATGTTCAGAAATTACTTAAAAAATGGACTGGCCTCGCAAAAAATGCCCGATCCGAGGCCTTCATTTGAACTAAAATGGTTGGAATCGATGCGATAGTCCAAAATTTTATACGAAAATTGCTTTTTTCTATCATTTGATGCTCCTGGAACCACTATGTTAGAGAAAATGACTCAGGTGAGCTTAAATGTGAAGATGAATAGCTCACCAAACACTTAAATTCATGATTTTTAACTGTCAATGAAGAATTACCTCCCCTTGATTTTGCTTTCTTATATAGACATGAAGCAAAATATGCACTTTAAAAGCTCATATTTCACCATTGCCACAGCTTTGGGTCAATATAAACATGTAATTATGATATTAAAAAGTACTTACAAAAAATCAAATTTTGCTCTTAAGGGGGCAATACACAGTTTTCAAGGCTTCTCGGCAAACAACTGACTGCGCCACAATCAAAACCTCACACACAAGTCTGTAATCACACACCTGAAATAAATGCATTTCATATTTAACATATATATATGTATCTCACAGCAAACAATTAAAAATACATGTCCACCTTCTAGTTTTCTGGCACACAGCCCTGTGTTTTTCATTGTTTTGGTCGCGAAAATCAACGACAAAATAAGCGGATTATCCCTATTCGCAAAATACAACAATATATTAACGTCAAAAAATTAAATCACAAGCTCTAGTGTTTCTTCCTTCTTAAACAATGCACAATCTGAAAATAACATCCAAACGGGGTGCCATCCACCTACTTTTTTCACTATTCTAAGTCTTCTGCATACCCTTTAAATTGAAGAGCTGATTCACCGGCTAGCTCCAGAAACCACACGTTCGCATCCGACAGGTACTCTCTCATAAAAACAAGGGTCAACGCCACTAAATTCAATTTTACTAAATAGCTAAAACATAATACTAGTCATTGAAACTTGAAATATAGTAACTATAAACATTTAGAACCTCAAATATCCACTTCAATTTCAAAACTGTCTCTTATTTGTAAATTTGACCCTGGCCAATTCGAAACTAAACAGCCGAAACTGTGTACTGCCTCCTAAAATGTACGGGCTCCGTAAATGATCAGCATCCGTTTCAAACGAAATCTGTTGTTTCTGGTGTTATGTGTACAGGGTGTTCTCATTTTCATTTTACCAAATTGTTTTTCAATTAAAAGCAATCTATATTTGGTTTAAATAAAAAATATTTTAATATTAATCACATAAGTCACATGACTTCCTGTGCACGATTTTCGCGTAATTTCAGAAGTCGTTATTTTTATTATTGCCGCAATATGGTATATATTTGTTTATTATTTGTTATTATAGCATAAAATCGGCTATTTTTCCCTTTTTTGCCCCTGTTATAACGGGACCAAAACCATTAACATAGTCACGCGCTCTTGTTTTAGCCCGGTTTTACCTATGCACAATACATACCGGGCCAATTTGTTTTTGTTTGTTTGGATTTTTACGGCACGTCAACACATAACTGGCCATATCGTGCCGAATGCTATAATAGGCTTAAAATATTATGTAAAACATTGTAAATGACAATAGAAATGAGCCAATTAGATCCTAGAATACAAATTTATCTCTTTTAAATAACCAATTATGTTTTTTGATGGAATTGTATTAAAAAGTTCTTTGAATGAATTTACAGAATAAAATCTATTACGGGCCTGTGAAAAATCATGACATTCAAGAAGAAAATGCTTGACAGTAAAATTTTCATTACAACGTACACAGAAAAAGGCATTGTCATTTGTGAGGAGATAAGAGTGGGTAATTTTAGTGTGTCCAATTCGGCATCGAAGAAGAACTGTTTGATCACGGCGGTTTGACAGAGATAGAGATGGTGACATATCAAGAGATGGGTTTATATCGTGAAGTTTATTAAAAACAAAACAATGACAAGTTGGCCTGTCTACCAAAGCTTTATATTGAAATTATTGATTCGAGGGCCTCAATAGCATAAGGCAAGTAGAATTCAAGAAGCCATGCCGGAAATACGGCGTATAGACATAGCCGCTAATCTTGGTTGTCGCCCTTTCTAAGAAACGGACAGTTTTCAATGTAAACAAATAGATGTCATTCAGTTTAACCCTCAAATTAACTTACAAAACAAGATCACACAAAATTAATATGAGAAAATGTTGTTTAATTGATGTTTATATTGATAAATGCTCTTTATATTTTATTAAGAGAATAATGTTTTGTGCCTGATATTCTTTTATAAACTTGTGAGCTTGAAAAAAAAACGACTCTGATGTCACTGATCTTTTTTCTACCGTCAATCTGAAATCATTCTAGGAATTTCTGAGGGTCATGTTTTGTCTTGGGCAGAGCAATTTAATGTGTTTTTCTTAATAAAATTCCTAATGTTGAGCTTTGTTAAATCAATTAAAATTCGAATTGTCGAACGGTTCTGAGCATTTGGATTTCCCATTCAAGAAGTTGGCCCCGGAAAAATAAAACGCATACGTAAAACATGTAGAATTGGATAAATACCGTCCAAGCACAAGGATTTAATGTATGTGTTTTGTATAAAATATACATCATGAATCTTTAAAAAAAATTGTTTGCTATAATAGCGTCAACGCACGTTATTTTCTTGTTATAAAGTCTGCAGAGTCCTTCGGAACTGTTGGAGCCCTCGCCCTACCGGCCTCGGGCACCAACCGTTCCTCGAGACTCTGCAGACGTTATAACACGAACAAACGTGCGTTTACCCTATAATATAGTCCTTTTCATTTATTTCACTAAAATATCACAAATCGTCATCTGATTCAATATCATTTTCTGAAAAAAGATAAATTAATAAACATAAACACTTAGCCTATATTGCTTGTTACAATTACAATAATTATGTATTCTTATCGTAAAAATATATCTACTAGCGGAATTGATTTCTAAAATGAAAAGAATCATATGTTGCAATAAGAACATTAAAAAAGAAATATAATTATATCTGCTTTTACGTGTTTAAGCATAGAAAACGAAAGGAAACAATCCTGGCAAAAATGTCACAAACCAGAAATGTAGGGCCAAACAACACTAGTTATATAGAAGACCCAGTAAAAAGGTACCAGTCACTTCATCAAAGGAAAAACACGATTTATAAGAAGGAACATAATTATATATTACCATCATTACATTCTTCTACATTTGTATAACAACATCCTTGTAAAACATTAGAATGTCCTTCTTTGTCTTCACTGTAATTAGTAATTTGATTATATAACAACTTTGCTTGCAAAGTACTTTCAGATTAAAAAGAAGCGTTTCTACTTTCATTAAAGGAATTATTTAAATTTTCCTCTCTTTTTCAAATATGTAATGTTTTTTTTATTTATGGAAGATGAATGAGCTAGCCGAACTGACAAAAACGGAATTTAAGGTGAACTGGAAAACGCAGTCAGGGGCAAGTGGCGTCTTCAACATGGGAGTCCACGGTAGGAAATAAATATAACATGACATAGGGTTTTCTTTATTTTTTAATTATAATTTATATCAATATGTAATTTATATTTCTGTACATTAAGTCATAATACTGATAATATAGGAGAAAATGTTGTGGAGGAAGTTTCCGACACTATTAACGTTGAAGCACCACCTGAAGCGGAACCTGTGTACCCATATCCGCCGATTGTGCTGATGATGATTAGAAGGAGAGTGGAAGTGGATTTAAAACCAAATGTGACATTTGTATCAAAAAAGTGTATGTAAGAAAAAAAGATTTATGGCTGAACTGTGAATATAGACGTACTTGTGATTATTGGGCTCATGCTCTATGCGTTGGTATGTAGTGAAAAGTGAAAGAGACTTGCAAGATGTAAAATTATTTTGCCCATTTCATATTAAAAGTTACATGCAATAAATTATAGCGTTGATAACTTAAATTTCATGCCATTTACATTCTAAACCAAATACTTCTCCTGCATCCCCATTTTTCGAATTTCTTTTATGGCTTCTTCTATTATAATCGATATTTTCTGTTTTGTTTTCTTTTGACAGGACAGGGCACATAAGGTAACTTGCACTTTCAAGTACCGTCCATGAACAGGCTCAAAAACAAACCAAACCCGCCCAAAATTTTTATTTTTCCCGTGTTTGGGGTTTCTTTAGGGGTTCTGTATTTTTCCCCTTTTATGAAAACCTGCCCTATCAAAAGATTAGACGTCAAAATTTTTTAAAAAAACAGGCAATATCCTAAGGGGATTATACAGTATTCAAGTAAATACTTTGGGAAACCCCCCAAATTGAAAAGGGGCCCAAAAAGAAGAAACTTTCAAGTTTCCCAAAAACATGTATTTCACAGAAATTTAATGTTGTGCTGAATGATTTTCCAAAAGGAAAAAAAATTTAAAAAATAAATTGATTAATTTTTAAATTATTGGACTTTTCCCCAAAACCCGATAGCTAAAAAACCTTTTTTTCCCGGTGGGCTAGGGATTAAGTCCTGAGGGCGGGCCCAAAAAGTGTTAAAAATTTTGATGTTTTTGTCTAGTCTGGTTTTCATTATTACTTTTTTCTTTAAAATGAAAAACCTTACTGCTGTTATAGAAAACTAACAATGTTTTTTTACTATGAAAACCTATAAATTTCAAACGGTCTTAGTAATTTGCGATAAAAAGTGATGTTCTCTGAGCAATCCAGCAACCTGTCTTTGCCCTGTCCTTTTTTATGTTTGGGGTCCGCCTGGGCTCCTTCCCATTGGTTCTTGTTGCTGGGTCATATGGGGGTTACGTTCATTGAACGCCGCCTTTCCTTGTTGATCTTGTTTATCATATTTTAACATATATATTGTGTGAAATGATTACAATGATTTTTCCCCTTTCAAAAATCCATTTTATTTAGTTCCGCCCATTGTTTTCTCGTTTAGGGCACACGCTTTTTATTACTTGGGGACCATACGCCGCTTTTCATGGAATGGCACGGAAGTGTCACATTGAAGGTTCCATGATAACCGCCGTATGAACACATCTGCGGATGTTTCTAAATTCAAAATTTTACTATTTCAAGTTTAAATGTTGAATTCTGCTTGGGCCGGTGCTAGGGGGCGTGGACGGTAACTTGCACTTTCCAGTACCTACCATGAACAGGCTCAATCAAACCGAGCCTGCAACATTTTCAATTTTGCCGTGTTGGGCTTTCTTTAGGGATTCTGTATTTATCTATTTTATGATCACATCCGTGTTATTTGTGCCGTGTGGCGGCTGTAAAAAGTCTCCCCGTACATTTAATCAATGATGTTATATTTTCGATCCTTGAAGATCGTTCAGCACGACATTATTGTTGTGCTTGTGGTATTTTTAGTTTCAAATTTTTGGCATTTTCTAGTTGGGTGGTTCCAACATTCCTACTTGAATAATGTTGAATCATTCTTAGGATATGTTGCCTGCTTTTTAAATTTGTCTTTTGACGTCTTATCTGTGATACGCAGGCTTCATAACCTCTGATCCCCTTTCAAAATTCCATTTTTATTTAGTTTCCGCCCATTGTTTTCTCGTTTAGGGCACACGCTTTTTATTACTTGGGGACCATACGCCGCTTTTCATGGAATGGCACGTAAGTGTCACATTGAAGGTTCCATGATAACCGCCGTATGAACACCTCTGCGGATGTTTCTAAATTCAAAATTTTACTATTTCACGTTTAAATGTTGAATTCTGCTTGGGCCGGTGCTAGGGGGCGTGGACGGTAACTTGCACTTCCCAGTACCGTCCATGAACAGGCTCAATTAAACCGAGCCTGCAACATTTTCAATTTTGCCGTGTTGGGCTTTCTTTAGGGATTCTGTATTTATCTATTTTAATCAATGTTTTCTTTGATTATTTTGGGTTTTACGTCACATCGACACAGT